ATGTCCGCACCAGGCTCGAACGAGACTAAGAGGACCCCTTCGCGCCTTTCCCTGGCAGCTGCGACCCAATCCGGCAGGGCAGCGTCCGCGCGCAGGACGAGAGAAGCAAAAGCCAAGTTCACGCGCGCCTCTGTCTGCCCCTTCCTCACCTGGTCTGCCTCGTCGTACAGCAGCGGCGCAAGAGGCTTGGAACGGCTCGGGCCGCGCTTTTCCTCTGGGAAGTGCGGGCGGCCTTCCCCGCTGACAAGAGGCGGGGCCTCTTCGTCGGCGTTCGCGCCTTGGTGGACAGGAAGCGCTGGCGATCGCGCCTCGGTGGTCAGGCCGATAGGCTGCGTCTCGCGGGCCCCCGCTGCTGCGGGGGAGCTGTCGCGCCCGTGCGCTCGCAAGTCCCACAGTTTGTCTGATGCGGTAAGACCCTGCCGCTTTTGCCAATTATTCGTGCAGGAAGATCTCGGTCTCGGGTCCTCGGAGCGGGCGGCGTTCTGTCCAGGCTGGATTACCGCTGCGGCAGCGGCTGGCTCCACGCGCGCCCCCGCTGCTGCGGAGGCCGCCTGCGGGGCCCGCGCTGGCGCCGACGCCTTGCTCTGCGTCGTGTTGAGCGCCGCCGTTTTGAGTGCAGGGGCGTTGGCGGCGGCCGTCGACTTCCGCGCCTGCGCGATGTCGCCCTTGTCCATCATTTTCTGAGCAACCGCCAGGCTCCGCGAAACGGTTTCCTGGGCAGCGCTCATCGACGAGAGGGGCGCCCCAACGTCCGTTGCAGCCCCAACCCCCGCTGCTGCGGGGGCTGGTGCTGAACCTGCCAGCCCCTGTGGAACTGCCTCAGGGGCCTCCTCTGGCAGCCCCCGCTGCTGCGGAGGCTTCAGCAGAGGCCCCTGCGCGGTTCCAGTCGCGCCTTGCTGCTCCATGCCCCGGGCCGCTCCCGTCGCGGAGGCGGGCGGGCGCGGAGGGAGGCAGGCCTGCAACGGCTGCGGATTCACTTTATCGCATTGCCATCCCTCCCTGCGCTCAAATGGCTTTTCCCCTTGCGCCAGTCTGCTGCTCCCACTTCTGAACTACCTCGTCCCTTCTACCCCCCCCTCCACCCTCCTCTTCCTGTTCAATCCTCCCTCCTCCCTCCACCGTGCCCATTTCTCCTTACTACCTTCTCTGCTCCTCCTACGTGGGGCGTTTCACGACAACGACGACGACGACGACGAGGACGATGACCACGACGGCGACAACGAGGACGACGACGACCACGACGACGACGACGAGGACGATGACCACGACGGCGACCAGCGACGACGACTAGCGACGACGACGACCGACGACGACGACGCCGACCACGACGACGACGGCGACGACGACAACGAGCGACGACGACGACGACAATCGACGACGACGAGGAACGACGACGACGAACGAGGACGACGATTACGACGACGAGATGACGAAGGTTCGAAGATCGAACCTCGAAGTGCGAAGCTTCGAAGTTCAAACTTCGGACTTCGAACTCCGAACTTCAAACTTCGAACTGCGAACTTCGATGGGGTGCCAGGGACGCAATGGGATGGAGGGAAAAATGGGAAGGAGAGAGCGAGGAAGCGGGAGAGGAAGTTGGAGGAGAACGAACAGGCGTGGAGCGACGAGGAACGGGCGGCGAGGAGCCGACGTTGAGGGCGGCGGGATGGGGGGGCCGGGAGGAGAGGGGCGACTTCAGAACGAAGATCGCGCAACGGCGCCTGCACGCGCGCTCCCGATCTCGCAGGCCGACGCGCGCGCCCCTGCCGAAATGCAACGCACCCTTCATTCGAGCCCCGCTGCTGCGGAGCCACCTAATCCACAACCGAATCGTCTGGGGAGCTGTTCGGTCCCCAAACTACTGGTTTGCCAGCCGCTGCTGCGGGCGCCGAGGGCCCGGTGCTGGACGCCGCGGCCCCGCTGATGCGGGGCCCCTGAGAAGGCGTCGGCCCCCCCTTCTCTCTGGCGGCGTCGAACTTGACCTTGCGCTCCGCACCGAGGTCCTTGTGCCGGCGATGTGTTCCTGACCCGTCGCTCCCGCCCAAACCCGCGGCTGGTGGCCTCACCGTGTTCGCGCGGGGCACGAGGGGCAGAGCTTCGACCTTCCTGTCGCCCCAGTGCGGGTGTAAGCGGACGCCTGTCCCGTCGTCGCGGTGCAGCGCGAAATCCCACATCGGCAGCTTCACTTTCACCCGCTGCCCCGCGAACTGTCGCGCGCGCACAATACTCTGGCGCATGTGGTCGTAGCTGTTTGGCCGGACTTCGAGGGGACAGCCGATCAGAGCCCCGCTGCTGCGGGGCCCCCCCACGACCTCCCTGATATCTTCCTCCCTGAGCGTCGCCACCATCTCTTGCCACCGCCAAGGGACTTCCTCGTCGCTTCTGAAACCGAAGCTCGTTCTCGCACCGTGGTCGCAAACAGCGACCATGGTGGGCTCCGCATTGTCAAACCACTTGGCTTCTGACTCGAACGGGGCAGTTGGGTCTTCTTTCACGTGGCGCCACCATTTCAACGCTTGGTTGTGTTGCTTAAACGAAGTGCCGAGCCTCTCTTCATAACTCAAAAAATAATTGACATCAAACTTCTCAAAATCCTGGGGCCCGCGCGCCGCCGCCGCTGCGGTGGCGCGGGGCTCCTGCGCCGCAGGCGCGGCTCGGGATCCCAACCCCTCTCCTGAAACTGCGCCCCCAGGTTCTGGTGAGTGTCGGAGGGCAGCCCTCACGAAATGATCGAATTCGGGCATGCCGAGACCAGGGGCGCGGGAGCTCACGACGCCAAGCGCGGCGAAGCGAGACGGCCGTTGAGGCGCGACCGCCGCCGCTGCTGCGGCGGCAGGGCCATCGCGCCATTTGGCGTCCTCCGTTGGCGCGCTCCCGTCTTGTCGCCACTCTCTCCAAACCCACGCTGACCAATCATGGCCGTCCTCCCAGCCACGCCAGCCGCTGCTGCGGCTATCCCACCATCCTTCCGCGCCACCCCATGTGTATCCGCCTGCATCGCCCATTGCAAGACGATGGCGCAGGCGCGCGTTAGGCCGCGACCGGCCCGGCTGCACCGTTGCTCGCGGGCGATCCCACGGGCGCGGGATGGTTTGAGCATAGCGGCGAGGGACGACGCGATGTGATTGGACGGCAGAGAGGTTGAAAGGAAGGGGGGTTGGAAACGGAAGAACGAAGTGGACGAAGAGCGGAAGTCGAACCAGAGGGGGGAGAAAAGGGCGGAAGAGAATGAGGACATGCAGACGAAGGAGAGTGACGAGGTAGATGGCGTGGCAGAACGGCAACGGAGGATAATGTGGTGGAAATTGTGAAAAGGACGCATGGAAAAACACGACGAGGATCACAAACGCAAAGATGATGAGCGCAGTGGTACCATGACATATCCGAAATCAAGAAGCAGGATGAGGAGGAACGGGATGACGAGCAACTCTGTCACAGAGGGCCTCCAAACGCACCCCTCTGTCACAGAAGGCCTCCAGACGCACCCCCTCTGTCACAGAGGGGCAACATGATCACATTAATGCGGCTTTTGGATTATACACATCTATTCACATCACTATATCTACAGATTTGTACACACACACACGCGTTCCATAGATGTATATATATATATATATATATATATATATATATATATATACACAGAAACACTACGAAAGACCGCCTCACAGGAACTTGCCGTCGAACCTTCTCGTCCTGGTTGGTGCCAGAACTGCAACGCTGAAGTCTTAGCTTATCACCCAGAGTGGGAGAACGTAATGAGGGAGGGGAGTGGGCAGGGAGGGGAGCGCGCAGGGTGGGGAGTGGAAGGAGCAGGGAGGGGATGGGGGCAGGGAAGGGGCGAGGAGGCGAGGTGGGGCCTGCAGGGGCGCAGAGGGAGCGGGGCAGCGAGGGAAGGGGGGGACGGAGGGAAGGGGGGGGGAGAACCGAGGGGCGGGGGGAGGGGCGGGAGGGGTTGGGAGAGGGGAGCACGGAGCGGCAGGGGAGGGGGGGAAAAAACGAGGCACGGGACGGGGCGGCGAGAGCGAGAGCGCGACGAGCCCCCCTGCGGCAAGGGCCCCGCCTGGAGCCGTGCGCGGGGCGCCGGGAGGGCGCTCCGGCCACGGCGGCCCGCCGCTCCAGGGAGGGCCGCTGCCCAGCGAGCCTGCGCCCCCCTCGAGGGGCCCAGGGAGACTCAGACAAGTCGGCATGGATTCCAGGACTCCCCACAATCAACACTTCTACTTCTTGAATTTCCCTTTGGCCTTGCTCTCCCCCTACCATCCAACATCATCATGACAACCAGCGTTGATCTGTGTCTGTGAGTGTTGTCCTACCTGATCCCTGATCCCTCATGCCCGGCGCACTACTGGTCCCCCATCGGCGCTTGCACTGAAAGGGGCCCCGGCGCCTGGTGCCAGGCCGATTTCGGCAGGCGGCAAGTTTCCCGGGCTCCCAGTTCCAGGCTCTGGCGAGGCCGCTGGGTCGATTCCGATGGGCTGCTAGGCTCCCCGGTGCCAAGTTCCGGGCCGATTTCCCGGCGGCCAGGTTCTGGGGTTCCCGTTTCGCGCCGGGGGTTCCTACGCGCTGCAAGGTTCCTCTGAATAACGGGATCCTTGCGACCACGGTGCGAATGAGAGAATAGACGGTAGAGAGTAGAGAACACAGATCAAACAGCTGCGGGCTGAATTGAGAATCGGTCACAAAGTAGCGATGGCAGAATACAGGGGAGAACGAGCTGAGGGTATACATAATAAGCCAACAAGTAACACGAAACACGAGAGACAGAGACAAGTATAGGCGACACATTTGTGTATACATACACATCCATGTTTACATGACGTATACTTACATACATACATACAAACATACATACATACATACACATATACATATACATATACACATACATATATATATATATATATATATAAAAATGCGCATGACCGTTCATACACCGTCACATGTATACATGTATACATATATGATTATACGCGGATGCCTACACATATACATACATACACACAGAGAGCGATAGAGAGAGAGCGAGCGAGAGCGAGAACGAGCGAGAGAGTACTTGCGTTTGCGACCACGGCCAGAAAATTGAAGTATATCGTTTAGAGCAGAAGGTGCATCTCATAATGTAGAAGCACAGAAAGGGAGAGAAAACGCCTGTTATAGACAAGTGAAACACTATACCTCTGAACAACGCACAGAGCGAGCTTTTCTTTCCACATGCTGGTCCATGTTTAAGCAGCAGAGACCTGCGGATCATGCCCCTGGCCCAAACTGAGTTGCGAAGTTGACCGGGCAGGCCGGCAGCGGCGAGACGCTGTCCAGCGAACGTGGCCGAAACTCGGGCCGCCGACTCGGGGCAGAGGGGGGGAATGAGGCGACGGAAGGAAAGCAAGAGACAACCAAGCGGCGACGGATACGAACTTGCCCACCAAACGTATCGGGCCGTGGTTGTTCATTGTGCTATAACCCCTGCCGCAGGGCCCAAACATCCGAGGCAATGAACCCAACACAACCATAGAAGAAGGTGGGAAGAGGAGGAGGGGCAGAACGCGAAGTGAGGAGGAAAGGACAGGGGGCCGGGAAGGAACACGGAATGGGCGCTAGGTCACAGCCAAGGGCTCCACTGGCGGGCCAAGCACCCTAGATCAGTACAAGCAGTTACGCGAGCAGCCTCACGCGAGAGCAAGGAAAATTGACTAATGCGCGAGTGTCTGTCATACCCGCGGCGCGTCGAAACCATGAGAAATGTCCGTCCCCGCGGAAAGGAAGGGGCCGAGGCAACCCAGTGGGTGGGCGGGCGCCCCAGGCTGGGCGCAGAACCTGCCTGCAATATCAATTACACACGACCGGCCCGCGCCGGAGGAGGAGGAGGAAGAACAATCTGCATAGCCGGACTCGTGGTTGACCGGGAGGCCGTCAGAAGACAAAGCAAACAGAGTAGAGATAAAGGGAGTTGTACATATATATATTTATGTATATATATAGGTGTAACTTTACACATAAATAGATGTATAGATGCCGAGAGATGGGAAGAAGGAGAGAGAGAGAGAAAGAAAGAAACAAAAAACATAAACAGAGAGAGAGAGGGAGGCAGAGTAGAGAGAGAGCGAGAGAGCACGCATGCACGCACGCACGTGAGCACGCACGCAAGCACGCACGCACGCCCGAACACACACACACACAAACACACACAAACACACACAAACACACACACACACACGCACGCACGCACACACGCACACACACACACACACACGCACACGCACGCACGAACGCACGCACGCACGCACGCACGCACGCACGCTCGCACACACACACACACACACGCGCAAACACACACACACACACACGCACACGCACACGCACACGCACACGCACACGCACACGCACACACGCACACGCACACACACGCACACACATGCGCACACACATGCACACATGCACACGCACACACAGGCACATAGAGATATACACCTTGTATACAGCAATGTGTAGACAGGTATGCACATATAATTACATCGGCCGATCACACTCATATGCAGAAAGGAAGCGGGATAAAAGGGGGAGAGAGAGAGAGAGATAGAGAGACACAGAGGAATATAGTTATATCTATATATATGTTATAACGTAAATGGCCCAGCATAGAGCGTAACATAGAAAAAGGCGGAAAGAAAGTTGATAGTAGAAAATATCTAATGGCTTGAGGCCCTTCCGGCCACCGTGCCTGGATGCGGTCTCCGGGGCAAGCTTGGGGACCCACGTGCTGCAGAAATGTACTGATTGGGTACTTCCGTTGGTGTAACCTTTGTTCTGGGTCGAGGCGGTGCAGAAGGGTGCGACGCACGCCGCTCTGGGCGGCTCTCGGGCCGAAATGCTCAGAGTTGGGGCGCACGCGTGCGTTGATGCTATCCCCACCATGCACACGAGCCACCATGCCTGCTGCACCGCCTGATCCAGAGGTCTCCTCCCATCCTCCTCGCTCTCCTCTGTTCCTCCCCCACCCCCCTACGAGTCAACCACTGCACATCGGATACCGTGCGTGCACGGTGTGTGCGTGTTGAAATACCAGGTGCTGTCTGAACAGGTGGCACGGCGGCGGGATTTGACACAATCCCCTCATACCATTTAGGGATAAAGGTCGGATGTGACCTCCGACTCGGCGAACAGAAGGGGGTTGCAGGCAGTGGGGAGATATGGGACGGGGGCAAGATGTCAGATGTTCGAGCATGGTGTCGACTACAGACTTGATTTACCACATAATTAATTTGTTCGTCGAATCAACGAGCAGATGCATTCGATGTCCGTTGACCGACGGAAATGCCACTTACTTGTCGTAGATTCGACGGTCATGCCAAATTTGGAGTACGTCAATTCGGTAGTCGATCCCCTACTTGAGATGTGGCGCGCGCGATCGCACCCAGCTCGTCCCTCTCCCCATCTCCCGTCTCCCCCTCCCGCCCCTTCAACCCCACCCCCTCCCTCCCTCCGAACCGATCCCTCACCACCATAGTGAGCAGAACATCCAGCCTCATCACAAACACCTCGGCAAGCGAAGCCGTTTAGTAAAAGCGCGCGCCCAAGGAAGGGATCGAACAGGGCAGGGCTATTTAGTAAACGCCCAGGGCTGGTCGGGTAAACGCCAATCGTCGGGGTCGGGGCGATTTTCCTCCCTTGGCTACAACCCATCACATCTCCTCCCAATCTCCCGGTGTGCGAGATGGTGCCCGGCAACCTGCCACAAGGGCCGCACACCTGCGAGGCACCACCCCAGAAGCGCAGAAGCACGACGGATTCTAGCCGCAAGGCTCGCGCACGCCGGGCGGGGACCACCGAGACGAACCCATCATAGCACTGCCGTAACGGGCCTGTGGGACCGCAGCTCGATCCGCGCGAACGCCGATCGGCACGCCTGCGCTCTGGTCCTGACGCCCCCGCCGAGCCCTGCAGGGCTGCTGGGGCGGGCACGCGCCCCCCCAGGCTGCTAGAGGAGGCTTGTGGGCCAAGGGAGCAGCTCCTCCTCCCCTCCCTCCTCCTCCTCCTGCTCCTCCTCGGTAGGTCACACGTCACGGATGCAATTCGTAATGTTGTACTTCTGCTCGACTCGGTGCGTCTCCGCTCCGCCGCTCCGCCGCTCCTTCTCGTTCTCCCCCAGCACGCCCAAGAGGCCTCTGGAGGTCCCCAGAGGTACCCAAAGACCGCTGGAGACTTCAGAAAGCTTCTCGAGGCCCTGAAAGACCCCCAACGACATGCAGAAATGTAACACCTCGAACCTTCCCTGCCCTCCTCCCTCCTCTACCGATCACCACCCCTGACGCCTTAATTATCTTCGGGTGCAGCCTGGGTCTCTGAAGAAGTCTTGTGACCGCTGGGGCCCATGCGGAGAGGACGGCTCCAGGCAAGGCACGACCGACTCGAGGCCAACCCTCAACGCTCAAAAGCACTCGAACCAGCGTGACAAACATTCAGGCCACCTCCGAGCACCGTCGCCAGTCCTCCAGCGGACTTCAGAGGGCCCTCAGACCCCCTCTGTGTGTTGCCGGAACTCAGACGAAGCTCTCCACATCCTGCAACCTCTGGGGGGCCGTCGTCGGGCCCTTGGCCCGATCGATCTGGGACGAACAAGCCATGCCAGGAAGGGGACCGAGAGGGGGACCCCCCTCCTCCCTCCCTCCTCCCCCTCCTCCCTCCTCCCTTCCTCTGCCTTCTCCCCCTCTCTTCGCTTCTCCCTCCCCTCTCCTCCCCTCCTCCCCCTTCTGCCTCCCTCCCTCCTCCCCCTCACTCCCTCTTGCCCCCCTCTCCTGCCTACGCTGCCGACGGGATGGAAGCTCGACGGTGGCTCCGCCCTCTCGAATAATCCAGCGGTCTGTGGGACGGGAGCCTCCCTTCCACGATGACATCATACAGTCGGGGCGTTGACCTAAGGAACCCTAATTAAGAAACGAGGCCTCTTCTTCCATACGTGAAACTTCGATCTCCCATCAAAAAACCAAACGAACATCGAAGGTAAACGGTTAAACAACTCAGGAGCACGGAGCCCCTCCCCACTAAAAAGGTTTCCTTCTTCAGCGCCGCGACTCATCCCTCCCCTCTCCCCTGGGAGCGCTTGTACTTGTAATTGCTCCCGTTTGTCCTTTGCATATTGAATCTTGGGTGCTCTCATCCACAATATTGCCCACATCGTGGTTTCCGATGTAGGACCAGAGCTGCCCCACAGGATCATGACATTCTCGGCCCCTCAGGGGCTGTGTTCTGGCCGCAGCGTTGCCCCCACTCAAGGGGTCCCATCGATCTTCCAACCAAGGAAGTGTCTCTCTGAGCCGGCTTTTCAAACTTCAAAAATTCCCCATGAGTTCCCGCCCAACCAATGGAACGACGCTCTCGTCACAACGCTTGCCGCGCTCCCGCATCAACAAACGTGCAAGTCCCGTTGCGCCATCTGCCTCGTGCAAGAATTTCCTTAGAGCCTTCGTCCCTCGGAACGACTTTCTCGCCGCCGCGCTGGCCGTATGATACTGTATCAGCAAACGCGGTGCTCCCGCTTGGGCGGTCGCCACGTTTCGGGATTTCCATCGCGCTTCCGCCCAACGAAGGGCACTCCCGTCGCGGAGCTGGCTGCAACCCTGTATGAGCAAGAATGGTGCTTCTACGGGATCCCGGTTTTCGTCGACACTCGACTACATTCGACTTTGCGAGTAGACGGCCTGACTCCATGGCAGGTTTGGGAGGGAGGAGTAACATTTTCAGATATGGCGCCAGAACCCAAATATTGCTCTACCCGTTTTTTTCCTTCTACCCTCCCCCGCTTCTTTCCTTCCTCCCCTCCTCTCTTCTCCTCCCTCCCCTGGCCCCCCCTTTCTTCCTTATGTCTCTTCCTCCCCTCTCCCCCAAACCGCCCTTCACGAATCTCCCTCGCAAAAGCTTGCGCCCTTCTCCCTCCCAATCTCCGTGCCCCCTCTCTCCCTCTGCTACTGCCTCCCACGCTGTCGGCCATCTCCCGCTCTCCCGATTGCAGGAGGTCAGGCGCGTGGGTTCGGGGGCGAATTCCCCCCCTGCGAAACTCATCAATTCATCCTCCCCCCTCTTTCTCTCTCTCTCTCTCTCCGCTCTCTCCTTCCTCTCTCTCTCCTCTCTCTGTCTCTCTCTTCCGTGTTGTGCGGCGATCGTCTTCCCTTCAGTGGGAGCCCCCTCCCAGTCCCGAGATGGCTGATGGTGGTGGTACTCGGCGGGAGCCCCCCCCCCCCCAACAGCCCCAGCACTGACGGGGGGGAGGCCCTGTCCACCACCTATCCCCCTCCCCCAGCCAGCATTGCAATCGCATTGCGTCGGCATTGCAGTGCAACCGCATTGCAT